GCATGCTTCCCTCCAAGCAGGCCTGCTCAGGAATTGGCTATGGTAAGGAGCAGAGAGGCACAGTGCGCACATGTTCTTGCCATGTGCTGGGGAGAGCTGGGCGCAGGCTGTATTCTGAGTGCGGAGGTGGCGTTAAGGCTGACCTCTGGGTCATTGGTGTAGTGTTGTCGTGACTTTTGTTTTAAACTTCCACAGAACCTTTTTCCGTTTCTTGCAAGCTGCTGCTCAGGTACCATCTTCTAGCAGGGCCTGAGCCAGCATGAAGCAGCCCTCTGCCTGTCTGTGCGCCCCAGCAGTGATGCGCCCGGGAACTCACACTGGAGGCTGGACTGCTTTCAGCAGAGCTCCAGCCGCAGCCTGAAGTGGCCTTAGCTGCAGGTTCCCCCTGCCCGTGTCCCCTCCTTCCCCTCCCCTCTGGTCTTCGCTGTTAGCAGAAGACCTGCTCAGGAATCTGGACCTGGTCTTGGAAACCCTTTCTGTTGAACACAGCAGCCCTCTCTCTGTTCAATTCTTCTCTTCCATAGATGTTTTGCATTGGAGAAGGCGCTCCCTCTTCTATTAAACAAGCAACTCAAATGCAGCCGCCTCCCTGCCCCTACTCCATGCTTGCTTCTAGCTGTCTCCTTCCCTAGGCTGGACGCAGAAGAGCCGTGACCTCTGGCCTCCGGCCTTCCTTTATTCCTCCATCTGCTTGGTTCTGGCTCCAGAGTCCATTCAAACACGCAGGATCTTGGGAGACTTCTGGGTGATGAAGTCAATGGACACCTTTCTAGGCCTTGCCTTTCAGTAGTTGTCCTAAGTTTCCATTTTTTTCTAAAATACCATTTCCCTATCTGTTCTGTTGAAGTATTTCAGGCTGCACATTTGACTTTTCTGTTTTGCTCATCTTTCGCTTCTACCACCAGTGTTACAGAAGGAAGTTCTTTTTTTTTTTTGGGTCTGGTTGTGGGTCCTGAACTCTGGGCCTGGGCGCTGTCCCTCAGCTCTTCAGCTCAAGGCTAGTGCTCTACCACTTGAGCCACAGCGCCACTTCCGGCTTTTTTCTTTTTGCTTATGTGGTGCTGGGGAATCGAACCCAGGGCCTCAGGCAAGCGCTCTACCACTGAGCCACCTTCCCAGCCCCACAGAAGGAAGTTCTAAGGATCTGGCCTCCCAAACACCTCCTGACGCCTCCACTTCCCACTGTAATGTCGCTTCCTCCATGCGCCGCTTGGCCCCCCCGCTGGGCTCTGTGGGAACACTTGAGTTCGCTTCTCCATCTGATCCCAGATCTGATCTCACCTCTTATCCTCCTGCTCATGGCACGTCAGTGGCCTCCCACTGCTCTTAGAACAAGGTCCTCAGTGCTTTAAGAAGCCCATGAAAACCAGCCTTGCCCAGGCCCCAGCTGCCCCCATCATCTCCTGAGCTCATCCTCTCACTGCTGGCTCCTTGCCCTCTTTGGGACCCTGTTGTCCTGTGTCCTCAACCACAGAGCTGTGCATCTCCCCACATGCTCTTCCCCAGGCTTCCCCTGATCTCCCAAGGCCCACCTGGGGCTCTGAGCTCTCCTCATGCGATGACTGTGTTCCCGAGCCTCTGCTGGTGACAGCGAATCTGCTAATGTGGAGACGAGGAATTAGGTAGAAGTAGCATAACCAGGCTTGTTTTGGCCCCTCGGACTGCACTTTGATGGCACTGGTTTGGTGGCAGGTGATGCTTGCACACCCACCCACTCTCACAGCTGCTTCCCCTCAGTCTTCTCTTGAGGCCCTGAGCAAATCATTTCAGTTCTTCAAACCTGTGCCGGGGCCATCCATGCTATCATTACACACATTTCCAAAGGCTCCCTTTGTGAAATTGGAATCCCGGGTGATTTTGTTTTCACTCTTGTGAATCCTGAGTTTTACTTTTCATGGAATAATTGAGTCATAGATCTCAGGATGGATGCTCCAAGTCATTATCTCAGGGTGCCAGATTATAGTTCTGTGGCTTATTTCTTCTTCAAGTAGCTTTCCTTTTGAATACATAGGAGTTGTCTTAAAAAAGAAAATGTCACTGAAGTACACTTGACATAGAGTATATTATCTCACTCACTTTGAGTGTAGTGTGAAGGATGTTAAGTTACTTACTTGTGCAGCCATCACCCATCCTTCTCCATCACCCTACCCTCCTCCATCGCCCCACCCTCCTCCATTACCCCACCCCCTCCATCACCCCACCCTCCCCCATCACCCATCCTCCTCCATCGCCCCACCCTCCTCCATCACCCCACTCTCCTCCATCACCCCACCCTCTTCCATCACCCCACTCTCCTCCATCGCCCCACCCTCCTCCATCGCCCCACCCTCCTCCATCACCCCACTCTCCTCCATCACCCCACCCTCCTCCATCACCCCACTCTCCTCCATCACCCCACCCTCCTCCATCACCCCACTCTCCTCCATCACCCATCCCCCCACCCTCCTCCATCTCTCCATCTTCTCCATCACCCCACCCTCCTCCATCACCCTACCCTCCATCTCCCCATCCTCCTCTATCACACATCCCCTCCATCACCTCACCTTCCTCCATCACCCTACCCTCCTCCATCTCCCCATCCTCCTCCCTCTCCCCATCCTCTCCATCACCCACCCCCCTCCATCACCCCACCCCCTCCATCATCCCATCCTTTTCCATCACCCTACCCCCTCCATCACCCCACCCCTACATCACCCTACCCTCCTCTATCACCCCACCCTCCTTCATCACCCCACCCTCCTCCATCACCTCACCCTCCTCCATCTCCCCACCCTCCTTCATCACCCCACCCTCCTCTATCACCCTACCCCTACACCCTACGCTCTTCCATCACCCCATCCTTCTCCACCCCACCCCCTTCCCTCTCCCCACCCTCCACCATCACCCCATACTTCTCTATCACCACCATCTTTTTCCATCCCTCATCCCCCTCCATTTCCCCACCCCCTCCATTTCCCCACCCTCCTCCATCTCATCATCCTTCTCCATCATCCCATCCACCTCCAGCATCCCATCTCCCCACCCTTCTGCACCACCACCACCATCTTTTTCCATCATCGATCCTCCTCCAGTTTCCCACCCTCCTCCATCTCCCTATACTCCTCGATCACCCCGCCCTCCTCCATTACCCCATCCCCCCATCTCTCCACCCTTCTCCATCACCACCATTTTTCTCCATCATCACATCCTTCTCCATAACCCTGCCTTTCTTGATCACCCCACCCTCCTCCATGAAACTTTTAATATGAAAACAGATGTCTGGAGTATGCATAGAATACTCAAGATTTCCAAGGCTGTGCTGTCCCAGTGAGAAGAAGAAAGAAGGGAGTGGACAAGATGCGCCTTGGTCGCTGGGAGCTCCAGGCAGACTGGAAGCCACCAGAGTCCCGGCCATGGCTTTTGAAGTTTTCCTTCTTTCCATTGTTGTCTGTCTAGTCTTTTAGTGGAGGAAAACTTCTCTACTTTTTGTTCCATTAAAGTATTAAATTCGTTATATGCACCTTCACATACAGAGTAACCCATTACAACCATTTTAAAAGGATGAGTGGGAACCAAGGGGAACAAGTAACTTGCATGTGCAGGGACATTATGGTACATGATCGCAGTGCCGTACATGCGTGTGCGGGGACGTCATAGTGCCCAGTGCAGGATCGCAGTGCTGAGTGTGCGAGGACGGCTCTGGAAGCATCAGGGTGAAAGCAGTGACTTAGATCATCGTGTCCCATGCAGCTGCCTCCAGGCCGCGACGACTGTGCCACTCGCAAGGAAGTTTTGTGCTTTATTCTCTTAGGCAGAAACTTGGTTCTTCAGTGACTTCATTCATTCTCCCTGGTATTACTCAGTGTTTGCTTTCTTTGCTAATAGCAAGGTCTCATCCTAACATGCTGTTTCTTGTGCTCAAGTTGACAGACTCAGAAAAGCTGGCTTTTATTCCTTCAGAATGTGACTTTCATAGAAACAAAGCCACTTTTTAGTGAAAAAACTTTAGGTATTTGTCTGTCTAGACTGTTATTCACACCTGTTAAGTAATTGACCTTGGTGGGTCCTTCATCACGAGTCCTTGTGAATTTAGCAGTGTTGTTTTTATGCCTCTTGTTGTCAGTGGATGTTGGGTCACTTTTTAGTGGTCTTACTGATGGCACGTGAAAACCATCGAGGAATGAACGTTACAGTGATTTCCTGTGATATGAATGTGTAGAAAGTGCTACCCACATTTCAAGGTGCTGTAGAAGCACGAACAGATTCTTTAGGAGTCTGCTTTCTCACCAGATGCAAACAAGAACACAAGCGTTTATCTTTCTTTCTTTCTTTCTTTTTTTTGGGTCTGGTCATGGGGCCTGAACTCTGGGCATGGGCGCTGTCCCTCAGCTCTTCAGCTCAAGGCTAGCACTCTACCGCATGAGCCACAGTGCCACTTCCGGCTTTTTTCTTTTTGCTTATGTGGTGCTGAGGAATCGAACCCAGGGCCTCATACATGCAAGGCAAGCGCTCTACCACTGAGCCACCTTCCCAGCCCGAAGCGTTTATCTTTCTATAAGACTAAGGATCTGCTTCCAGGGTTTCTCAAGAGCATGGCCTTCAAATGGAACTTGCGATGCTTTGTTGTTCAGGCCCCTGCAGCTCCTCTCAGCCCTCCACTCTATTGTGGTTCCCAGAGATCCTCCTTGAGCACACCAGAGGGCCCTGGGGCTCATGGAGCGCCTTCCTTTATGAGCAGATGAGTCGATTCTCAGTGGCATGATGATGGGAACTACTCCTCTGAAAGCTTTGTGACCACATTTGTTTCTGCTTCCATTTAATGCTTTGTTCTGGAGATCGGAGTCTCAGGTGTGCTCTGGCCTAACCAAGGTTCTGAGACATGCAAGCAATATGAAATGTGTGAGGAGTTTTTGACACAGGCTTAGTATTAATACTTGCAGAAATTGTTATGTAAATAAATATCACATGAAATTTTAAAGTTGCACAAAGAAATATAATTAACACAGTGACCTCTTTCCTAGGCCGGACCTGATAGACATGAATACTGTTGCTGTTCAAAGCAACCTTGCAAATTTAGAGCACGCTTTCTATGTAGCTGAGAAAATTGGTGTAATAAGACTTCTGGATCCTGAAGGTGAGTCTCTGGCTTGTCTGGGCTGGCATGGCAGTCTGACCTTTGGCATCATGAAATAATTGTGTGTTGCTTGTTTTAGATGTGGATGTCTCTTCACCTGATGAGAAGTCAGTAATAACGTATGTGTCCTCTCTCTATGACGCCTTCCCGAAAGTGCCCGAAGGTGGTGAAGGCATCGGTGCAAATGTGAGTGCTGTTCACTAGCCAAACGCTTCCTTCAGCATTCAGATGTCCAGTCTCTTTGAAGGAATTCGAAGGGCTTAGACTTGGGAATATTGATATAAACCTATAAATCCTGTCACTGCAGAGGATGAGGTGGGGGATCCTGAGTTCAAAGAGCCTGTGTTCCAGGCTAGCCTGGGCACAGAACGAGACTTCCCCAAACCAAGGATTTGAGCCCTCTACTTTCTGGCATCATTCATTCTACCACTACAGTGACGTGTAACTGAAAAATCCCATTTGTTCTTTGTCAGGAATAAAGGAAACTGTTCAAAGTTCAGGCCCCTTTATACAAGAGCTATAAAGCACTAAAATTTGAAGCTTCATTTCAGCTTGTGGTTCCATAGCTCCTCCTTTCCTGTCCTCTGTGTGGAAGATGCCTCAGTTTTGAAAGTGACTTCAGGTTGACTAAACAAAGGTGCTATGTGATGAGTTGACTGGTTCCATGTTTCTTACTTAAGGGAAGGACCTGGTAGGGCTACTGGGGTTGGCAGAACTAACAGAGGGAGACCTCTGTCAGGTTTGGGTGTTGCGTCTCTGTTAGACCACTGTTTCTCCAAGGTTGGTCCTTGTACTCAATCATGTACTGTGCAGTGGTCCCACTGCAAAAAGCTTTTGCATTTCCAGGAGATCACGGGAAGCTGTATGGTGCAGACACAGAATCTCCCTTCACCCTGGTCTGCTTCTTCTTCATCACAGATAGCTTTTTGTTTTTCTGCATTACTTTGAAGACTTGAGCTTCCGTGTTTGTCTCTTATGTAGCATCTGTGTGCTGTTGTTTCTAGATCTAATTCCATTCTCTTTTTCTTGTTCTTAAGAACCTGTTTGGGTTTTATACTTAGCCTCTTAGAGGTCATGGTAAATGCTGCTTTAGGATGAGGCTTGCTGGTCTTTCTGCTCTGTCTTTCTTCCCACTCCCTGCCTCTTCCTTCACTTGAGCACGGGATGGCGATTCTGAAAGGCGACTTTTCTTTTCCAATTTCCCCCCCTCCTCATAAACTCTGAACTTGTGGTCAAATGAATCTTCTATAACCACGTGTCTGTAGCTTGACACCCTAACAATAGCTGATACCTCTTAAAGGTTAAACCTGTTGAGATGTTTTGATATTGAAAACTGCACACATGAATTCCACTTCACTACATGCTTGCTTGTCCAGGTTTCAAGGCGTGCAGTGTTCCGACTCACATGGGCCCTTCATCTTGTCCATTCTCTTAGGCAGGCCCACTTCCAGCCAGACAATTGCTGGTCACCACAGAACTCCTCAGGGACCACCAAGAGGCCTTTAGTGACCATTTCAAGGCAGCTAAGAATCAGGTTTGGAAACCTGATTTTTATTTTTTTTGCCAGTCCTAGGGCTGGGACTCAGGGTCTGGGCACTGTCCCTAAGCTTCACTTGTTCAAGACTAGCACTCTGCCACTTGAACCACAGCACCACTTCTGGCTTTTTCTGTGTATTTGGTACTGAGGAATTGAAACCATGGCTTCATGCATGCTAGGTAAGCACTCTACACCTTCCCAACTCTGGAAACCTGATTCTTAACAGTGGCTAGCACATATTACCTGCTTTGGTTACTTGGCACCTGTAGTAAATTTTGCATTCATTTTCTTTATCTTTATCTGTGAATTCCTCTGTGGCCCCACTTAGTAACTCCTCAATGGTGGTAATGTCTGAAGTTCTAGGTTTTGCTGCAGTACTGACCATAGTCTTGAAACAGCATGCATTCATCAGGTACTTCATTGAACATAGCAGTGGGCAGCCTTCCAGTTCTTTCCTTTATAAAATGTGTGCTTAATGTGTCGAATAGTCTGACCATATCCAGTTCTTTCCTGTTGGGTTTCATGCTCATTGTGTAACTCTTTGAAGTGCAGCTATGCAGTGGACTTAGATCTCCAGTACAGCAGAGGTGGCCAGCCTGGCTATGACCCCTTCTTGATCCTGGAAAGCACCTTGGATTGACCACGCCTTTCAAACCTTCTCATTCTTGGATGCCCCCATGCCAAGCCCAGAAGCTGCTGAATTTGGGTCAGAATTCGCATTCTTAGGCTAGTGTTAGTTGACAGCATGTTGTAAATGTTTATGTGGAAAGGATCACAGTTGAGTAGAAAGCAAGAGGTAGAGCTGTTTTCTGAGTGGAAAACAGCTGGCTTTAAGACCGAAATTTACAAGAAGGCTTTTGACCAAACTGTTGCAGCTGAATCACTGGCATTTATTGTTTCAGGATGTTGAAGTCAAATGGATCGAATACCAGAACATGGTGAACTACCTCATGCAGTGGATCAGACACCACGTGACCACAATGTCTGAGAGAACATTTCCTAATAACCCTGTAGAGCTGAAGGTCAGTGCTGTGTAGAAGCTCAGTAGGATCCTTTTGATGACAAACTTTCAGCTAATTCTGTAATAATTCTGATTTTATGTTAGTTCAATAACAATTGCTATTGGGAAGACACAAATGAGTGGCTTCTATGTTTGTTTACACAGTTCCTTATTACACTGAAAGCATAGAGGCAAATGCCAATAGTTAAAACAGTAGCAAAAACAGCCTAAAGAAGTTTGCAACCCTTAAGCTTTGGTGTGTTGCAAGTTTAATAAAAGTATAATTTGAGAGTGTGTGGAGTTAGATGGACGGGTCATTTTTGGTGTGTGGAGATGCTTGGAGCCCACCAGGTGGAGGGAAGAGGGTCTGGAGGAACTCATACATATACTGGCAGTGGCTCGGAGATGCCTCTACTTGAACCCTGCTGGAAACTGCCAAAGAGGCTGCTTCTGTAGGGCATGAGGTGCAGCCCGTACTGTTTTCTCAGGAACTGAAAATACGTACTTTCAGCCCAAGTAAAGTAAGTTTGGCATTTATCTAGGTCAGTGCTTGTGGCTTAATGGTTAGTGAAGCACTTGGTAATATTGAAAAGTATAGGTGGGGCTCTTTGAAGCCGAGGTGCTATAGCAAAGTAGAACACATTGTATGCACATAAGCTTACCAAAGAATAAGGCTGTCCCGTTTTGTACATTTGTATGTGAGGCAGCAGAGCGGTCCACTTGACAAGTGAACAACGTAGATACTGGCTAGGAAGCATGATTCTTTGGTTTGTAAGTCTTTCATGGTGGGTCCCACTGCGGTCATTCATCTGGGGCCCGTCCTAGTCCATGTCACCGTGGGGATTTGCCCTGGGCCTCTGTGGACAGGGCACTTTTTGAAGTGTTCAAGGGTACTTGCCAAGTGTCTAATGATTCCTGGGCAGATAGAAAAAAATCTTTTGAATTTTTTTCTAAGGCACAAGGGAAATCCCATCTGCCATGTAGTTAGTTCTACAGAGTGTTTAGCAAAGGTGACTGCCAGAACTTAGGACCAAAAGACTCCTGAGGAGGATGCCATCTTTGGCTTTTGAATGCAGAAATGCTTATTTCCAAATGGATCTCCACTCTCTACCCCATTGAATAATTGTGTCATGGTCTCTGAGTAGCACAGATTTGTAAAGTCATTGTGCAAGGCTCCTTGCTAGCTAGTGCCTGGGATAGGGCATGATGCAGGAAGGAACACATTGTGAGGGACTGCAAATAAATCTGTTAGCCACCAGACCACTGAATGGAATCTTACAGAAATGTAATCTGCCCAAAGACTTGTAGGATCTTGTTTTAATGCAGCATGAATTAGGATGAGATAATTAGTATACACGTATTAAGTATGGAGATATTTTGTCTGTATCACTTTAACTAATACACTGAATTTTTAATAAATTTTAAAGGTTCCCAAATGAGTATCTGCAAATGAGAATCATAATTTAATTATATGGTTGAACTTTGTATAATAATGGTACCATCAGCTACTAGTATATGTCTTCATTTATGTAAAAATCTGTGTACATTGACTGGCAGGACAATGAAGTCAAGTTTTAGTTCTGTCTAGTTGCTAGGCATTGTGTGTTCAGTGGTCAAACGATGAAATGAAAGAATAGTCCATTCTGTTTCTTCATGGGAATTGCATCAAATTCTTTTCCAGAAAACTAGAAATGAAGGTGTGGTGTTTAAGAGGTGCTTATTTTGTAAGACAGACTTTCTAGCATGGATGGTAAACGATACGTAGTGGAGCCATCAGTTATGCCGGCTCCTGTGTGGCACAAGTTCAGTCATGGCTGCCGTCCACACTTCTGCCCTCATCAAGTCTTGCCTAACCCTCCTACCAGCACACGGGCACTGATGTACCCTTGGCTGAAGGCATATACCACCATGAAAAGCATTTGCACTGGGGACATAATGAGTCAATGAAGTTTGGCCCTTAATTCATTTCCTCTTTCATTTTAGGCACTTTATAATCAGTATTTACAGTTTAAAGAAACAGAAATTCCACCAAAGGAGTCAGAAAAATCCAAAATTAAGCGCTTATATAAGTTATTAGAGGTAAGCTGACATATCCTTTCTATTGGCAAGCATAATCTTCATTACAGTTCTTTGCTTCATGCTGATTTTGTTTTCTATACTCTAGATTTGGATAGAATTTGGGCGTGTCAAACTCCTCCAAGGCTATCATCCAAATGACATAGAAAAGGAGTGGGGCAAACTCATCATCGCCATGCTGGAGAGAGAGAAGGCACTGCGCCCCGAAGTGGAGAGGTAGGTAGATGAGGGAAGGCACTTTGCCTCAAAGTAGAAAGAGAAGCAAGCCAAGGCTGTCTGTGGGGAGGAGGCCTTTGGTTCTGTGGAGCCAGGCAGATGAAGACCATGATCTGACATTTCCATGTACGTGGCTGTGTGACCTTAAATAAATCACACTGTCTTTCTCATCCTCCCCTTTTTTTGCTCTAGAAACTCTGCTGGGCACTTTACAGAAGTAATCAGGGAAGTAATTAACTGAAGAACCCGGTAGGGTGGGCGTAAATGTGAAGTCTCATTGGTCATAGCTTTAAAACCAATGAAAACTACCCAGGAGAGTGCCCCTCGTTGGCCTTAAATCTCCAGGGCCTCGACCCGGAGGCTCATAGATTTGTTTCTTGTTACATTTTTGATTGTGGCTGTCCTCTCTGAGATCTGTAAATACACACATCTCAGTGAAACCCACCATATACTGTTTGAAAAAGAGGAAAATGTGAAGTAGATTTGTTCAAAGTGCATCTAACAATAAACCCCTCAGATTACACGTACATGTTAATTAATAGAAACAGCTGGGTACCCATGGTCTTGAACCCTAGCTGTTTGGGAGGCTGAGGTCCAGAGGACTGCATTTTGAAGCCAGTCCAGGCAGAAAAACCTGTGAGACTTCATCAGAATAATTAACAAAAAGCTGGCCTGGAGGCAGTGATAGAGCACCAGCTAGTGACTGGAGTGAGTATAAGACTGAGTTCAAACTCTAGTGGCAGAAAGAAAAAACCCAAAATGTAGTCTGTCTTGATGTGCAGACTGCAGAGTCCCATCTAGAAAAGACTAGAAGGTGTCAGCTCAGGTCCCCCTCCTGCCACATTTCTGCACGTGCATTGCCTCCTGAGCATGCCCCTGCTGTCCACTGTCTGTTCTCATGTACTGCTATGTGAGAAGGCAGGTACAGCTCTGGGCAACTTGTGTGTGTGTGGCCGGGGATTCATCCAGAGCCCGGTGCATGCTGGGTAAGTGCTCTGCTACTCCGCTCTCTCCCTGTTGGGTAAATTTGTGCCCTGGAGATCCTCATCCCCAGCTGGCTGTGGACTGTGGGGACCATGTCTGCTCCTCTTGAGCTGTGGGGGCCGAAGGGGCTGGGCCTACCCCGAGGCTTCTGCAGAGCCGGCACACTGGCTGCCACTTGGCCCTCCCATGCCACCACCCCCTCTCCCCTGTCCATCCTGGGATGAGAGCAGAGCCCTAGTAATCGATTGCCTCCTTGGCACTCCACCTCTTCACACTGCACCTGTGCTGTGGGCGACTCAGACCTCAGCAGTGCGGCTTATTGGGCGGTTGGTTTGGACAGTAATGGAGTTTGGCTCAGGGCCCCATGCTGGATGTGACTCGTCAGGCACCCTCCACTGAGCCACACTTCCAGTACATCTCTTGCCCAGGGGGGAGTCTGGACCACTGTTTACCTATCTTATACATCCCACCATTTCCGGAATGTTGGGTAAGCACCCTTGCTCTCAGCTGCCCTCTCTGGAGATGAAGTCTTGTTGGCTTTTCTGCCTAGACCATTCTCAAACCGTGAGCTGCTCAATCCCCACCTTCCAGGTATTTCAGAAGAACGGCACATACCACTGGACCTAGCTTTGGGCTGGCCCTGACTGCAGTCCCCTGTTCTCAGCCTCCTTAAGTAGTTAGTATTGTAAGAATGGGCTGCTGGCACCTGGCTTCTTTCATGCCTTTCGTTAGGAAAGTATCTCCCCTGAGAGTGGAGAAGTTTAGCTTTGTAGCATTAGCAGTAGGAAAATATTTAGGAGTTTGGTTGGATAAATGCCTCTGTTTTTCTTGATGCAACAAGTTTTTTGGCAGTGACTATTTGTATTGTGAATAATAACTGTGTAGCCTAGAGTATATGAAAAGGCAGATAGGAAAAGCTGGCATTTTATACCATGTAATAATCTAAAGAAAGAAAAACAAGAACAGGCACATCGACTTTGCAAACATCATATCCATATTCTACTTAGCACTGTGGCTCTTCAACATCTGTCTAGGTGACTGTGGCAGACACAGCATCACTGGGACACACAGGATGAATCTAGGGAAATAGATACCTTTCCGGTTGGTTGAATTTTATGAACAGATGACACTCCGGTTGGAATGGAAGAGACATTCCCACTGTGGCTGCCTGCACAGGGACTGTCTGTATGGGTGGCGTGGACAAGGCCTTCCCACTGTGGCTGCACATGAAGGGACTGTGTATGGCGGGTGGCATGGACAAGGCCGTCTGGGTGTGATGATTGGCACAGACAAGACTGTCTTTATAAATTGTCCCTGGATTTCTTTGGAGCATGGAGTTGTTTAGGTGGTTGCGAACGGATGACTATTAGTGAAACTATTTGGCGATTCTGCCCCAGCGACGCCCTGATCAGCCTGTGCTGTCTGTACTTGCAGGGCTTTAATGAAGGCTCCACCAGGCAAACCTCAGCCAGCTACTGCATGGCTGGAGGCGAGATTCTTTTGAATAGTTATCAGCACTTTGCTGTGTATTGCATCTGCATGTTGAGGCATATTTAAGGAGCTGTTAGAGCCTTAGCATTCAGTACTGCCTTCCCGTTAGAAGTAGAGAGTTCTCTGGACTTTCTCTTCACGTTCACCATCAGAGAACACTGCACTGGGACTGAAAATGCACAGCAGCACTTACAGCTACCGGAGCAGCGATTCTGTATTTAGTAACACAGCCAGCACCCGTACTAGTCTTGATTCTGGGGAAAACCTTCTCTCGGTTCACTGCCGTCCAACCCTCATCAGCTCCTGCATTAGCTTTGGCAGTGACTCCACACATGGACACAGGTATAGGAGACGTGCAGTGTGATTTCATTCTGCTTTTCAGTGGGCAGCAGTTTTCAGGGATGATGAATGCTTTGACTTCAAAAGAAAGATCTCTGTGTCTTCCTGTAGGCTGGACATGCTGGTGCAGATTGCCCACCGCGTCCAGAGAGACAGCATCCTCTGCGAAGACAGACTGGGCCTGGCTCGGAACGCACTCCAGTCTGTGAGTAGATCTTAGAGCTGGTGGGACTGTTGTAGAGGTGTGGGGAGGGGACGGGGTAAGATAAAACTTTTCTATGAAGTTTGGTTGCCCTTGGTGTGTTCCCTGTACTTCAAGTTAAGGTTGGCCAGTGGTTATGACTGGTATGTCTTGTCTGAAGGGACAGTGAGCAGGCAGAAATCCTGCTTTTGAACCAAAAAGAAAGACAATGTCCATGTAGGCCTCTCTTCCAGTTTTTGGGGTTGTAACCTTCAGGATGGTTTTGACAGGTGTTCACAGAATTCATCATGATTTCTTTTAAACCTAGGATTCCAAAAGACTAGAATCAGGGCTACAGTTTCAGAATGAAGCCGAGATTGCCGGGTACATCCTTGAGTGTGAAAAGCTCTTACACCAGCATGTGATTGACACGCAGATTCTTCTTGATGGAAAATACTACCAGGCAGATCAGTTGGTACAGAGGTGAGAATTCTGCTGTGACCCTCATGGGCATAGGGAGATAAATGCAGACTCTGACAGTCTTCTTCTTATTATTAAGGAGGAGCTATACTTCTGAAAGTCAGGTAATGAGAAGATGATTCTTGGATAATGTCATCCCTTCCTTCACTTTCCCCCATTCCCTCCCCTGTCCATGTCCACAAGTTGCATAGTTCATTTTCTACATAGTATATACTGAATACCATGACTGTGTAGAATGTTTCTTAGCTCTCTGTAGGTAAAGAGTGTGTTGTGTTAATTCTGCTATATTGTGGTTAGCAGTTACTGGGCAAACCCCAGTATACCAGAATTAACGTAACACAGTAACTGAGCAGCTCAACTGAAATGAGTGCTTAATGTCTTTATATTACTTACATCCTTCTGACATATCCACGGGTGGTGCCAGGGCACATACTCCTTGTAGTGTGTGTGTGCGTAGCGTGTGCACCACCCTGTTCAGTTCTTATACCACAAAAGGAAAACAAGAAATAACATAAAATGTTAAAAGAAACTTTCTACTTTTCTGCTTATCCTTTTATGAAAATATTCATAATAGTTTTCAAAATGTGTGTATAAAAAGTCTAACTCTGAGAATTAGATTTCGGGGTACAAATTTCCTTTTCTTTCTTTTTTTTTTTTTGGTCTGGTCGTGGGGCCTGTACTCTGGGCCTGGGCGCTGTCCCTCAGTTCTTCAGCTCAAGGCTAGCGCTCTACCACTTGAGCCACAGTACCACTTCCGGCTTTTTTCTTTTTTCTTATGTGGTGCTGAGGAATTGAACCCAGGGCCTCGAGCATGAAAGGCAAGCACTCTACCACTGAGCCACCTTCCCAGCCCTAGAAATTTCCACAGTCCACAGTGTTTCTATTTTTCTTTATGCATAGAAAAGTAATATTTGCAAGCCATGTTTGACTTAGTAATTTCTTTTTAGGAGTCTATAGTGATTATAAATATAGAAAATAAATAACAATAGAAGGAAAAGCTTTATGTTCATACCAGAAATACAGTTAAAACTTTTGGTATTGGGATATGAATGTAGGGGCCTCACTTTTGTTAGGCAGGTGCTCTACCACTTGAGTCATGCCACTCATCCCTTTTTGCTTTAGTCATTTTTCAGGGTTTTATTTTTGCTCAGGCTGGCCTGGGTCGTGATCCTTCTTCTTAAGCCTCATGAGTGGCTCATATGACAGGCCTATGCATGTCCAGCTTTTAATTTTTTTAATTGAAATGAGGTTTCACTAACTTTTGGCTCCTTTTTCCGGGACTGGCCTTCAACCACAGTCCTACAGATACCTACCTCCTGAGTAGCTAGAATTATAGGTGTGAGTCACTGTACCCGCATATGCCAGAAATATGTGGTAAGGAAAGTTTCTTGTTATCTTTAATGTCAGTAGGTGAAGGATGACCCTGGAGGGTAGTAGTTTTGTTCCACATAAGTGATGGCTATACAGACTAATGATATGAAAAGGACTTATAGCACAGTGTTCATTATTGACAATAATTATGATGCAGAATTTTACCAATATGGTTATAATGACTTTTTAAAGCCAGGGATTTAATTGAGAAGTTTTAGTTACAGGAAAATTGAATGGAAAGTCCAGTTCTTTCTTGTCACTGAGACTTCCTTCTTTCTCTCCTTTCCTTCTTCTAACACCTTGCATTGGTTGTGCAGCACTACCAGGGAGAGAAGCCAACACTGGCACATTACCATTAACTGGAGTCTGTGGTTTTGGTACGGGCTCACTCGTGGCTTTACACCCATTTCTCCCTCTCCTTTCAGGGTCGCTAAGCTCCGTGATGAAATTTTGGCCTTAAGGAGTGAGTGTGCCTCAGTGTATAGCAAAGGACGCATGCTGACCACAGAACAAACAAAGCTCATGATATCAGGAATCACTCAGAGTTTAAATGCAGGATTTGCACAGACCTTAAACCCTTGTCTGAACTCAGGGCTGACCCAGAGTTCAACCCCTTCCCTGACCTCTTCCAGTGTGACTTCCGGCCTTTCCTCAGGGCTGACATCCCGTCTCACTCCCTCAGTCACCCCAGTGTATGCTCCTGGTTTTCCAGTGGGATTAGTTCCAAATTTCAGTTCAGGAGTTGAGCCAGCCTCCTTGCAGACTCTGAAACTGATGCAGATCCGAAAACCACTCATGAAGTCATCTTTGATGGATCAGAATTTAACAGAAGAGGAAGTCAACATGAAATTTGTCCAGGATCTTTTGAACTGGGTTGATGAGATGCAGGTATAGAACAAATGCTTGGTTTTCCTGAGTTTTGGATCTTTGCCACTGTGCACTTTGTAACCTTATCTTTTGTTTTTGAAGGTGCAGTTGGACCACACCGAGTGGGGCTCAGATTTGCCAAGTGTTGAGAGCCATTTAGAAAATCACAAAAATGTTCACCGAGCTATTGAAGAATTTGAATCTAGTCTTAAAGAAGCAAAAATCAGTGAGGTATATGAATTTAAAATTTTACATATATTTCATGGTAGTTTAACGTGGTTTTCCTCTTTGGAAGCCCTGTCACTCAATAGTAGATGCATCTGGTGTGTGTCCAGATTCCTTATTCAAAATCTTTTTATTCCATTTTTAGATTCAAATGACAGCACCTCTTAAGTTAACTTATGCAGAGAAGTTGCACAGATTAGAGAGTCAGTATGGAAAACTCTTGGTAAGTTTTTCTTTAATATTTCTGTTTCCTTATCTCTGTGGCAAAGATCTGATTGTTACACTGCTCTTTCTTACAAAGAATACATCTAGGACTCAGGAGCACCACCTGGACACGCTTCATAATTTTGTAACTCGGGCAACTAATGAACTTATCTGGTTGAATGAAAAAGAGGAGGAGGAAGTTGCTTATGACTGGAGTGAGAGAAATACCAACATAGCTCGGAAAAAAGAATATCATGCTGTAAGTACACCTGTGTGCTTGCACGCTGAAGGTGCACTGGAGGTTTAGATCTTTGTTCTGACACACTCCCTCACTCTTTCTTCATTAGGAATTAATGCGAGAACTTGATCAAAAGGAAGAAAATATTAAATCAGTCCAGGAGATAGCAGATCAGCTACTTCTAGAAAATCACCCAGCCCGTTTGACTATTGAGGTGAGTCAGGAGAGTGGTCGGGGCAGAAGGAGAAACAGGAGTAGGAGAAGGAGAAGGAGAAGGAGAAACAGGAGTAGTATAATTCCAGGGAGCAGGGATGTATGATCACGTGTTACCAGATTCTCAGTGCTGCGTGTGTTCTATTCAGAAAGCCTGCCTGGGCAAAGCCGAGCAGGAATGCATTGGTGCAGATGGAGGAAATGACAGGCTTAGTCACTAAAGTTCCTCGCACGCCCTCTCCTGGGCACCAGTGACAGAACCTTAAATAGGAAAAGTGTTTTTTTTTTTTTTTTTTAAATGAAATAGATATTCTTTATACTATGTTTTTTAATGAAGTAGATATCCTTTATGCTATATTCGTTTGCCTTTATGAAAGATGCACTTCATACTAGTGATACTTTAAGACAGCTACTATTCTAATTATTGTAACTCCAGAATTATAGAAAAGAATACATTGCCTTTTCCTCTACAAAGCCAGGAGGAAAAGTGCGGCTATGGGGTTTCCTATTTCTGTGTTAGAAGGTACATGCTATGGCTCAGCAACATAGCAGTCCAGAGATGGCAAAGAGGAAACCTATTTGAGGGCATCACACAGCAAGTATACTGGTTAGAGAACAAGGGGTAGAGGGAAGGACTGGTTTTCTATGTAGGAAAGATACCTTGTATGCATTTCAGAAGTTCTTTGTGTAAAAATTACCATAGTTCACATTTTCATTTGTATTTTAAGGAGTTAAATTTTGAGAGAAATTTTAAAACTTAGATATAAACTTTAAGGCTGGTTGTATAAGCAGGAACTTTTAGGCAAGAAGAACAATTTGCTACCCTGATTTTGAAGTCTCTTCCTGTTGAAATACCTAATCACCTATTCATAGTAGAGTATCTCAACAGCATCTGTGTTGGAGGTGCTGGAGCTTGAACCCTGAGCTGTCTGTGTGCTGGACCAGCACTCTGCCCCTGAGCCACTGCATTGGTTTCAGTGTCTGTGCTTTATCTTTAAGGCCTACAGAGCAGCCATGCAGACACAGTGGGGCTGGATCTTACAACTTTGCCAGTGTGTGGAGCAGCACATCAGAGAGAACGCTGCATACTTTGAGGTGTGTGAATAGAAATGTGGCTTCGCCAGGCTGCAGGGATGTGGGCTGACTTGCAGAGACTTTTTATTTATTTATTTAATTATTTTATTTTATTTTTTTATTGTGAAAATACCATATAGAGGGGTTACAATTACATGGGTAAGGCAATGAGTGCATTTCTTATCAAGCATTGTTGGATCCTCCTTTGTTTCCCCTTAGCATCCCTTCCCATCCGCCCCTCTTTCTTCTCCTGTCTCCCCCCCCCCGTGCCAACGTTGTAAAGTTCGTTTGTAAAGTTCGTTTTTCGACATAACATCTTGTACATCTCATTGTTGCAGTGGGTCCACCTGTGTCCCTATTTAAACAATTTGTTTTTTTCCTTCCCCTACACAAATTATACCAACATCAAATATAGTGAAAATAGGGCTTATACCCTGGGGGAGGTACATACAAAGCAACAAAGAAATATCTTATAAATATGTTAGAAACAATAGCAAGAAAGAAAAAACTTTTGAGTCCTTATCTTGGGGTTCATTTCACTTACATCAACTTATCTGATCATTTCTGCTTGTCTCAGATGTATACTAGTTATTGCAAATAAGGGAAACCATGGGACCTACGTTTCTTTGGGCCTGGCTTACTTCACTTAATATAATTTTTCCAAGTCTTTCCATTTCCTAACGAATGGGGCAATGTCATTCTTTCTGATGGAGGCATAGAATTCCCTTGTGTATATATACCACATTTTCTTGATCCATTCATCGACTGAGGGGCATTTACTGAGGGGTTGGTTCCATAAGGTAAATAATGTGCAGAGACTTTGTAACGTTAATGAATACGAACATGTCTGTTGTACACACTGGGGCAGGGGGAGATGAACTGAAATATTTAAAGTTAGTTTGTAGGATTCAAAGTTAGTTTCCGGTATTATGGAAGAGAGATTGCAACATGCAGTTAAGAAAGAAATCCTTTTTAAGATTATGTCTTTGTTGCTTTGTATGTCCCTCCCCCACAGTATAACCCCTGCTTTCACTATATTTGATGTCGGTATAATTTGTGGAGGAGATGGGGAAAAACAAGTCGTTTAAGGATACAGGTGGACCCATTGCAACAATGAGAAGTACAAGTTGTCATGTGGAAAACGAACTTTACAACTTTGGTGGGGGGGGAGAGGGGGGAGGCTGGGAAGGGATGTGAAGGGTAAACAAAGGAGGAGGCTGCAATGCTTGACAAGAAATGTACTCATTATCTTGCCCATGTAATTGTAACCCCTCTGTACAGTATGTTCACAAAAAAATAAAAAAAAAAGAAAAAAGAAAGAAATCCTTTAAAAAAGAAAACAACCAAAAAACCTTAAACTAGACTTCAGTGGCTCACACCTGTAATCCTAGCTAGGCTATGCTGAGATCTGAGGATCTCTGTTTGATGCCAGATTGGTCAAAACAGTCTGTGAGACTCTTATCTCCAATTAACCACCAAAAAGCCTCAAGTATAACTGTTGTTTAAATGGTAGAGCTACCAGCCTATGAGAAAAAGCTTAGGGATAGTACCCAAGCCCTGAGTTCAAGCTCAAGGATTGGTACAAAACAATAAGAAGAAACCCTTAAAACTTAACAAAACTTCACACATACAAACACACACACAAACAAATGTCTTTTATTAATGAAAGTTGCATATTTTAAGTAAAAAGTGAACCAGACGAGCTTTTCATATTATTCTGCAATTGTTTTTAACTATTCTAACTCTAGGCCTAGGAGCTGTCTCTGTCTCTGAGCTCCTTTTGCTTGAGGCTAGCACTCTTACCACTTGAGTCACAGCCTTTTTGAGTCATCTGCCTTTTACTGTGGTTTATTGGAGATAAGAGTCTCATGGACTTTCCTGCCTGGGCTGGCTTTGAACTGCGATTCTTAGATCTCAGGCTCCTGAGTAACCAGGATTACAAGTGTGAGCCACTGGCCCCTAAAAGCATTTTTAGAATTCCATTTATGTAAAAAATTGTTTTAACCCTATAGGAAATGAAAATGTCAGCCAAAATAATACAGATCCAAAACATAATATACCTATATACCTTTTGCCCTTAGTATTTTATGTATAACCACTCGAGTTCAGGGCTGTTTGGATCAAGGAACAAAGTGGTTATTAAGTTGTGTTTTGCCTCTTCTGTATTATGAAGAACACACAAATTTAACACCTCTCAGCTTTACTGGCATTCAGCACACCTCCATGTTTTGTCTTTCCTCAGTTTTTCAATGATGCCAAAGAAGCTGCTGATTACTTGAAGAATCTGAGAGATACTGTCCAGCGGAAGTACAGCTGTGACCGATCAAGCAGCGTCCACAGGCTGGAAGACCTCGTTCAGGAGTCCATGGTAGGGCTCAAACCCTGTGCACACCACCACCACCAGTATTACACTCATCTCTTACCATGTTTTCATGGTCCTCAGTATTTCCACCACATTCCACAAAGCAGTTAAACATTCAGTTTTACTATTTAAATTTTTATATGTTTGCCTAGATGTTTTAAAATGCTTTAGCAGTTCTCTCTCTCTCTCTCTTTCGTGTTTTCCCCCTCTCCTCTCTTTTTCCATGTGGCTGCACATGTCTCGTGTATATATTTATTCATTCCACAAATACTTGTCTATATCCAGGCACTATTTTAGGATCTGGCAGTAAACAGTCAAGAATGTTCCTATATGGTGCTCACATGTTGGGGGGGGGAGTAAGAGTATAACATGTTAAATAAACAGATTACATGTGCTTTGTTAGATAGTGATAATGGTAAAGAGGAAAACAAAACCAGACAGAAGGAGGAGCTGCGAGTGCTGGGTGGCATTGCAGGTCTGCTTCTGTGGCCAGGCATCACTTTAGGGCTGAAGTTCCATTTGTGCAACTTCCTGAAGGAATGAACCATACAAATCTGTGTTTTATCTGTGGTATTTACTCCCTAGGAAGAGAAAGAACAACTCCTGCAGTATAAGAGTACAGTAGCCAGCCTGGTGGGCCGAGCAAAAACAGTAATTCAGCTGAGACCAAGGACTCCCGAGTATCCACTCAAAACCTCTGTCCCCATCCAGGCTCTCTGCGACTACAGACAGATTGAGGTACATGTTTGCAGTGCTCTGGAGCTGACAAGGCCATCTTTATCCATGTGGTGTTAAGCTGAAATCATACTGCTTGCACAGTGATAAGGTTTTCCATCTTATAACACGGAAGGAAAAATCCTAAGATGGAGTGTTGAGAAAGAGTCATTACTAAGGTTTTCTATCTCCCCACTACTCTGGTACCAGGACTTGAACTCAGGGCCTGGATGTTATTCCTTAGTTTCTTCTCTCAGGGCTGTCACTCAGCCTCTTGAGCCATAGCTCTACTTTCTGGCTTTTGGGTGGTTAGGTAGAGATAAGACTCTCACTGACTTTCCTGCCCAAACTGTCTTCAAACCATGATTCTCAGATCTCAGCCTCCTGAGTAGCTAGGATTACAGGTGTGAGGCACCAGACCCTGGTTGTAGTTTTTCTATCTTATAAAATCAAAGGAAACATCCCAAGATTGAGTGTGGAGAAATATTTTTTGCTAGTGACTTCATTTAGTTCTTCTTCCCTTCCCGGAAAACCAGATAACTATTTACAAAGATGACGAGTGTGTGCTGGCAAACAACTCTCACCGTGCCAAGTGGAGGGTCATCAGCCCAACAGGGAACGAGGCAATGGTCCCTTCCGTGTGCTTCACTGTGCCTCCACCCAACAAAGATGCAGTCGACTTTGCAAACAGGTTTGTATGCGCTAGCTGAAACCATACAGCTAGTCGGGGTGGGGACTTTCTGAGGTGGAAGATATGGTCAACACATTGTCAAGGGACAGAAGTCCCTAGCAGCAGGAAGCATTGCAGATTTCACAAACCAAATGGAAATCTGCATGGAGCGCATTGTGGAAAGGAAGAAGAAGAATTTGTCTGTGTTCTTGATTCTGTGTTTCAGAATTGAGCAGCAGTATCAGAATGTCCTGGCTCTTTGGCATGAGTCTCACATAAACATGAAGAGTGTGGTATCCTGGCATTACCTTCTCAGTGAAATTGACAGGACACGAGCAAGCAGCGTGGCTTCAGTGAGTATAGTGGACAGACATGTCAACCTGGTAATGTCGGCACTTGGCATGAGTCCCAAATGGGGCAGGGCCTGGCAGACCAAGGCTTACCACAAACCCGAAGTGGTACCAGTTGTGCACCCACCATAGAGGGCGTGTCCTGTGCACCAGGGACCAGAGGTCAGACTGGGTGGTGCTTCCGAGAGCTCTGGAGCTTGGACATCTGACATGGGTATAGTTTGATTTCATCTATTGAATTTTATGGGCTTGTTTTTCCTTATCTCTCAAAGTTATTATTATTTTTTTGGATGTTGGTCCTGGGGCTTGAACTCAGGACCTGGATGATGTCCCTGAACGTTTTTTTGCTGAAGGCTAGCACTCCACCACATGAGCCACAGCTCCACTTCTAACCTTTTTTCGGTAGTTTATTGTAGGTAAACAGTCTCACAGGCTTTCCTACTTGGGTTGGCTTCAAAACATGATCCTCAGATCTCACCCTCCTGTGTAGCTAAGATTACAGGCATGAGCATCAAATAATGGAAAAGAATATTAACTGAAAAGAATATTAACTGGACTATACCATGAGAAAAAATGAGATTTGTACCATTTACACTCAGCGCTCTGGGTGGAAGCCTCTAACTGCATGACTTTCGTTTTTCTCTAGATCAAGACCATGCTGCCCGGTGAGCATCAGCAAGTCCTCAGTAATCTGCAGTCTCGGTTTGAAGATTTCCTGGAAGATAGCCAAGAATCTCGGGTGTTTTCAGGCTCTGATATAACACAGCTAGAAAAGGAGGTTAACGTGTGCAAGCAGTACTATCAAGAACTCCTTAAGTCTGCAGAAAGAGGTAGCATACGGGGATTTCATGTGTTCTGCATAGGTGTGCTATTCTGGCCCCCTCCTGCTCTCAACAGGAATCAGTCTTAGTCTGTCGTGGTGCTCAGCCTGTGATAAACAAAACTGCCGAAACACTAAAGAAAGGGGTGGGAGCTCTAGAGGTGTAGCTCTGTAGAGCGCTTGCCTAGCATGCCCGATGCCTAGAGGAATCCTCTCCTCTGTTTTAATAGTCTGACACTTGATGCCTTCTTGTTGCATCTACTTTTCAGTACTTGCTGTTGGGCCAGGTGACGCTCACATGTGATCCTCCAGGCTCACAGTAGATTTAATTATTTTCCACATAAAGATGACTATCTTCTTGTGTAACTTGAACTTGAACGCAGTATGTAGCCTTGGCTAGCCTTGAACTCATAGTGTTCCTGTCTCAGTTCGTGAGTGCTAAGATTATAGACAGGTGCCTCTACCCCAGTCTTATTAAATACAAATTTTATCTTGAACTTTTCTGATAGTAGAGACAATTTTATTAGTAACATTCTGTTCTTTAAAACATTAACACATTTTCTTTACCAGATTTTCAATTTTAGGAATAGATTAGATTAAGATTTTTATAATTAATCTGCAGCTTATATAATTCACATTTTGTGAACATAAGGCAGGGAATTAGACTACTTTTTTGGGCCATCAGAAATCAGAAATGGGTTCTTGGTTCTTCAAAAGGCACTGGGTTATATATATATATATATATATTTTTTTTTTTTTTGCTAGTCCTGGGGCTTGAACTCAGGGGCTAGGTTCACTGTCCCTGAGCTTCTTTTGCTCAAAGCTATCACTCTACCACTGAAGCCACAGTGCTACTTGTGGCTTTTTCTGTTTATGTGGTGCTCAGGAATCAAACCCAAGGTTTCATGCATGCTAGGCAAGCACTCTACTGCTAAGCCACTTTCCCAGCCATTATAGGTCAATTTTATTTAGAATATAAGTTTTAAAGTTTATGTTTTTGGATTTATATTTTAAGGTTTGTACCCCTTGTATGGGCTGATAGTGATGACAGGTTTGACTAGATGGGACCCAGTGATAAGAAAGAAAAAACAACTCCCATATTAAAACATGAGCAAAAACTGGTGCTGGTGGCTCACACCTTCACTAGCTACTAGCTACTAAGGAGGCTGGGATCTGAGGATTGCAGTTCAAAGCTAGCCTGGGCAAAAATCAGTGAGATTCTGATCTCCAGTTAACCACTGAAAAGCCAGATGTGGAGCTGTAACTCAAGTGGTAGAGTTCCAGCCTTGAGCACAAAAACTCAGAGACAGTACCCAGACCCTGAGTTCAAGGTTCAGCACTAGCATTAAAAAAAGAAACAATTAGAAAAGCCCTGAGCAACGACATGAGGTGTTTTCTAAACGTGACGCTTGCTTTCGCAGAGGAACAAGAGGAGTCCGTTTATAATCTCTACATCTCTGAAGTTCGGAACATCAGACTTCGCCTGGAAAGCTGTGAAGATGGGTTGATCAGGCAGATCCGAACCCCCCTGGAACGAGATGACATACGTGAGAGTGGATTCCGAATCACAGAGCAGGAGGTGAGAGGTGCAGGTGCCTGGTGTGTGGGTGCGGTTTCCTTCAGTGGTGCGTGGGGACCTCGGTGCCGCCTCGTGGCCCCTCACCTCCACCTTAGAGCTGGAGATGAGAGGTGCAGGTGTGTGGTGTGTGGGTGCGGTTTCCTTCAGTGGTGCGTGGGGGCCTTTGGTGCTACCTCACATCCACCTCAGAGCTGGAGGTGAGAGGTGCAGGTGTGTGGGGTGCCTGGAGACATCGGTGCCGCCTCGTGGCCCCTCACCTCCAGCATCTGTGCTGGCCGGGTGCCAGCCCTGACGATGTGCTTGTTGCTGGATCCTGCAGCTTGGCTCTGCCTGTGCCTCAGGTACCTCTCACCATCCTGGGGCCTTCCAGGTTGTAAAAGGAGCAGGTAGAGGTGTGGTCTCAGGAGATGAGTTAGGGTGTGGGAATTATTGAGGGAGAGTAGAATGTCATGTCTGGTTCCGTTATGTAAGTTTTTATGTCATCATGTGAAATGTGTTTTCACACTATTATAAGGAAATACCCCATTGAAATGATCATCTGCATTTGTTCTCTGTTGTATAGAAACTAAAGAAAGAGCTGGAGCGACTTAAAGATGACTTGGCAACAATCACAAATAAATGTGAAGAATTTTTCAGTCAAGCAGCTGCCTCTCCCTCTGTACCCACCCTGCGGTCCGAGCTGAGCGTGGTTCTTCAGAGCATGAACCATACCTACTCCATGTCCTCCACTTACATAGAGAAGTATGTTGCCGCTGTCCTGACAACCGGCCATGCGATTCGCCGCCTGCCATCCAATATGCTTTAACAACTTGCTGTTATAAGCTCCACTCTGTTGAGGAAATACACATTTCTATGAATTTCTGGTGATCCCCTTGTTGATGGGGCTATGCCACAGAGACCGGTCACTAATGTATTTTCCTCATTTCTATTTTGGTAGCTCAGCTGTTGGAGTCTGTGGGGTTTTCCTCTTGTACCTGGCCTCACCCATTTTGTGTTGGAATCTTCGTTAACACCACGTGGGGGCTGGGTGCTCACTAGAGCAGGTGCTGTTTATTAGGAAGTCAGTGAGCATCAATCTTGGAGTAATTGTGCCAGTGTTCCCAAAGAGGACAGTGCTGTGCCTAGCATCATAATGTGTCAGGACTGATTATATGAACAGGAACATTTAACAACTACACCTGTTTTTAATCCTCTTTTAAAGGTTGAAAACCATTAATTTAGTATTGAAAAATACTCAAGCTGCAGAGGCTCTTGTAAAACTCTATGAAACCAAACTCTGTGAAGAAGAAGCAGTTGTGGCTGACAAGAACAATATTGAGAATCTAATGAGCACTCTAAAGGTAAACGCATCACTGTGGGCTGTCTATCCACACTTAAGTACTTCTGAGTTCCAGTCTTCAAACATCAGGGCCTCACACCTGCAAAGCAGCCACACCACCACTTGAACCGTCTACAGCTCCTTTTTGTATGCTTATTTTTGAGATAGGGTTTTGCTTTCCACCCAGGCCTGGACTGCGATTCTCCTATTCTTTCCTTTGTCTCTGGTCTGGGATGACAGGTGCATACCACTGTGCCTAGCTATAGTGCTTCTACAGTCATGCAGAAGGGCAGGTACACACCATGACCCAGCCATTACTTGAGATGAAATCTTGTAAAATTTACTCTGTGCCTCTCCCTTGAGGGGCTGGCCTCAAACCATGATCCTTCAGTCTATGCCTTCCGAGTAACTGGGGTTACAGGCTTGAGCCAAAACATCTAATGTGGGTATTCACTTTTAAACAATGGATTAATAGCACTTAAAAATAAGCAATGAAAAAGATAGCAGTGGCAACTTTGCTTATGGATTATATTTTATTTTCTTGCAAGTTGTTACTTTGTAAAGATCAAAGCTATTGAACGTGGTTAATCCTGATTCAGTGTTTTTTTTTATATGCCTGCCCTTCCTTTCTCCGATTTTGTATCAGTCATTTGTAAATACATTGAATCATGAGGCAAATAATGCATTTACCCCATGTCTAGTTGATGCCTTTTATAATGCTTATTGATCTGTGTATTTTAGCAATGGCGATCTGAAGTGGATGAGAAGAGGGAGGTGTTCCACTCTTTGGAGGATGAGCTGCAGAAAGCAAAAGCTATCAGTGATGAAATGTTCAAGACATACAAAGAACGGGACCTTGATTTTGACTGGCACAAAGAAAAGGCAGACCAGTTAGCTGAGAGGTGGCAGAATGTTCACATGCAGATCGACAACAGGTGAGAAACCTTGGTCAGCATAAATACAGAGGAAAGGCTGTTTGCATCCACTGGGTAGGAGCTAAACTTACCAGGCCTTTGTGAAATAGCCTACAAACGTTTTTTATTTTACATCATACACTTTAGCAAGACATTTAACTTCAGAATAAGCATTTTTGAACTGTATAATTAAATATATTGATATATTCTGTCATTTGTATAGTTTCATCTCTTTTTGTTCTCTGGAGACTAGGTCTCACTATAGAGCTTAGGTTGGCCTGTACTTGTACTTGTTGTACTACTTTGTTTCCTGCCTGCCCCCTCTCCCACTCCCTTCCCATTTCCTTCTTTATTTTGTGGACTAGAGTTTGAACTCAGGGCTTTGTGCTTGCTAGGCAAGTGCTCTCCCACTTAAGCAATACACTCAGCCTAGTGATATAGATCCATTCTTGAATAGTATGTTCAAACATCTATTTCTTTAGCTCTGTAAATTACATGGCAAAAAGATCTAAGACCACATTAGCCATTCATTGAGCTAACTTCTTATTTCAATAATCAACTGCCATTTGATACAAGCCTTAGCTATTCAGGGCATCCTAACTGGTGATAATTATGGTTAATTTTTCTGCATTTCTAGTGTTAGTTTTGGGGGGCTTAACATAAAACTATCAATATCATTGTGTTGAACAACCTCAGAGCACAAAGTCTACATTGAACCGCCTCCAGCGTGCCAGTCCTTGGAGCTTTGCCCTGTGCTGCCTCAGCCTGGAAGGCTTTCCATGCTCCTCTGTGGCACTTGTCATGGCCTGGTTTTTGTGTTTCTCCCCTCCCTCCACCTTCCACCTTCTCCCCCTGGGAACCGCCCATGCTCTCTCTGTTCTCTTAGGCTGCGGGATCTGGAGGGCATCGGGAGATCACTGAAGAACTACAGAGACACCTATCACCCTTTAGACGACTGGATCCAACAGGTTGAAACTGCGCAGAGAAAGATTCAGGAAAATCAGCCTGAAAACAGCAAAACTTTAGCCACACAGTTGAACCAACAGAAAGTACGTTAAAAAAAATGCTTGCACTGAGGTCCTCTGCATTTGATCAAATAGAGCCTTAATCTTCTCTTTATTAAAAGGCAACTGTTTAGGGTGGTGAGTAAATATAACAAGATCCTACAACTCAAAACTACCTATTTCAGTTACTTCTATTTCTTGGCAGTCATTTTTGAAAGCATACGTTGTAGGTCATAGAAAGTGTCCTCCTGGGATGGAGAATTATAGGTTATGACTATGGCCATAGGTATGGTATAGTCTTTTGGATAGTTAGCTGCCCACAGTAGGTGATTTGGTTCTTAAATAAATGGAACTGCTTTCTGGCAGGAAATTAGACAGAAATTCAAGTGGCAGCCTTTTCAACAGCAAGAGAGGTTAGACAGGGCTCAAATCCACCTTTGATAATTCCTGTACATTATTTCTGCTTCCGAAGCCTTGTGAGTGGGAGTCATTTGGAGTTAGTTTGGAAGTGTGCCATTTACCTATAATGCAAGATGCCTACTCAGTACCAAGTCCAAGAACTAGTCATGGATACAGATATGCTTAGTTTTGGACATCTTGAGACATAGAAATTTCTTGTCCTATTCCTTCTAAATTGTGTGTATTTATAGATGCTGGTGTCTGAGATAGAAATGAAACAGAGCAAAATGGACGAGTGCCAAAAATATGCAGAGCAGTACTCCGCAACAGTGAAGGTAGGAAGGCCTGGCCACTTCTCAACCTAAACCATCAGGTTTATAATGCTGAGTTGTTCTGTAAGGTTTATAATGCTAGATTGCATTCTTCAAGCTATGCAAGTCATTTCACCCTGGTTGAAAGTAAAAAGAGAGAATCCTCATTTGAAGTTTTGATACACACATCACAATTGTGAGTCAGATGAAAGTTTCTTGGTGTCTTCCTCTGCCTCATGAGTGCAGGAGTATGTACACACCCTCACCCTCACCCCTCTACCAGAATAAATACTTAACTCCGAAATCGATTTCTTACCACTTTCCTCTTCAGCATTGAGAGGACCTCTAACTTTCTGACTCCTCAGTCTTCAGGTTAGCACGGACAGTCTGTCAGCTTTCCAGATCACACTTTGCTGTATCACTCTAGTATTGTACTAGGTGCTTTATGAGCTTCCAAAGAGACTTGGGCACCTCTTAGCTAGTCTATCTGTTTTTGCCTTCATTGCTACCCTAGAAGCATCTGTGGGCGTATAGATTCCCCCAAATGTAGATCTGTAATATGTTTTGCCTCTTAATTCAGTGCAATTAGGTTCTAGCTCCCTAAATCATGGTGTAATGACGCTTTAGAGCTTTGCTGTCCTTAATTTTAGCATGTCGACTCTCTTACACAGGACTATGAATTACAGACAATGACCTACCGGGCCATGGTAGACTCTCAGCAGAAATCCCCTGTTAAGCGCCGCAGAATGCAGAGCTCTGCGGATCTCATTATTCAAGAGGTAAGAAGAGGGCAAGAGAAGAAAGAGGGCCTACCAGAAGCAGCATTTCTGACAACATACCCAACATGAAGGTTAGCATTTTAGCTGTTTCCAGTTGTGCAGTTGCTCGGCAGCCATTAGCTCTACACATTTACAGTGCTAACAGAAAGTCCACCCACAACAGTAGGCTTATTAATCAGTTGTACAACTCTTTTAAAGCCACGGTCAATTAAATATTAGTTCTTTACTATATTTACTTTAATTAATTTCATTTCCTCATAAAAGTTGGTAGAAAACTACTCTTTAGTATGGCGTGCATAACAGGAAAAGCTCTCTGCTACTGGGTTCCCCGTTTATCACTGGAGTGCTGTCAGTAATGAACTTACTTGTTACTGGGGTGTGTGCTTCAGGCTCCCAGATCCCATCCAGTATTAGAATTACTCCTCAGATTTCAGTGGCCTTGTGAAAGGCCGTTGTTGATGTTGTGCTTGTTACTTTTCCCTTTAGTTCATGGACCTGCGGACTCGGTACACTGCCCTGGTCACTCTCATGACCCAGTATATTAAATTTGCTGGTGACTCACTGAAGAGGCTGGAAGAAGAGGAGGTAACAAGGACCAAGGAACAGCTGAGTTCCAAGGCGCTAGATCTGAGCAGGAATTACAGAATGGCTTGCGAAAGCAGAATAGATTTCATGATGAATTTACCTGGCTGGTAGCTGATGGAAGAAATTAATTATAAAATTATAATGAGCTAGAGTGAAGGGGGAAGCGATGGCCTAGAATTTTTATTTATTTATTTTTCCTTCACATAGAAACACATTTTGATGTTCATTTCACCTGGGCTGGGAATAGAGCTTGGTAGTTGAAGCATTTGTTCAGCATGCATTGATCCCTGCTTTTATTTCACAGAACTTCAGACAAAGCCATTTGTGACCAGAGGATGATATATTTGATATTGAAATGGCTTAATTTAAGAAAGTACTGGCATCTGGGGAGAATTTTCTTTAGCCTTCTCTTGGTTGGGGATGCACAATTGTATGGGAGCATTTAATTCTCTTGTCATGTCTGTGGAGATACATACTAAAGATTTCATATTCAAGGAACTAAAATTGTATTTAAAAAGACCTCAATTTAGTGGTCAGTGTTGGTACAAAAGAATGCTACATTTTAAGAACTGTAGTTTTAGGCTTGTTTAAGTATAGATACTTTAACCTATTCAAGAACCATTCTGATGTGGAGGGCTTCTATTACTTTGACTATGCTTTAAAAATTACATTAAAAATTACAGAAAAAGTAAGGAGCTACTTATAAACATACATTGTTAAAAAAGGTTGCTAAGATTGAAGGGATGACTCGGAGGTTCTGTAATCTGGATTCACTTTCTCTTCTGACCTCGGAAGTACTAGACCCCAAAATAGTAGACTCAATGCTAGGAGAGGGAAAGTTGTAAAGCGTGCAGCCCAGTCAGCTCAGGTGGACTGTGGCTGGAATCCTGGGGTGTTTGGGACACCTCTGTCCATGCAGGACAAGAACCAGAGCAACACTCAGTGCCCACTGATTGAGCTCCTAGAAATGTGCATACTGTAAATTATTTTAGTCTGTTTGGAGTTAAAAGTTCTCTACAGCTAAGTCAATAATGTAACTAATTATAAGACATGGTGACCAGCTTTCATTATGTTGTGGAAAGCCAGAATATTAGTGACTTGTGACAGGCATGCATGTGCTTCTTACGTGAGAAAGAACAGAAACTCGTGCACACACATACGCATGCACACACACACACACACACACACACACACACACTCATACACAATACTATTTCTTATAAGGCTCATTCCATTTGAAATGGTCCATATATCTTTTAAATAACATATACAGTAGTCAGATATAAAGTAAAGTAATTTAAGAGCTGGCAGGATAGCTCAGGGCTTGCTTAGCATGCATAGTAAGACCTTGGGTTTAATCACTTATACCACAAGTAAACTAAAGTACTTCTTGTAAAATAAAATAATTTAAGTCTCATTCTTCCTTATAGTGGATAACTGATTACACATATATGGCCACTTTGCTTAGTTTGTCTAGTAAGACAGAAATTAATACAAAGATATTTTAAAGTACCTGAAATAAATACAAATCTAAATTAGTCACTGCTGAAATCTCAAAGATTTATAATGAAATGAAACATTGAAAATAACATAGTTATAGAACACGTGAATACTAGAGTAAGTTCTAAAACCCTCCACTTACCATGGACTGTCCTATCAAAGAGAAGTAGGTCCAATTTTAAACCCCAAAAGTGGTGTTTCTCAAACTGTGTTGAAGATCCACACAAGAAACCTTGAGTTGAGAGCAGCTTTTCATAGTAAGTATAAAATTGAAGACATCTAGCAGCTCACTTGAGAGAAACACCACGTGTTAATGTTGTAGAGTGTCAGCTGGAGAGCTGCACTGCAGTGTGCTGAAAAAAGTCTTCTGTCTCTGTGGCACGCAAACTGTGTTGAATATTAATCCCATGGCAGAAACTAGAGGCAGTTGGTTTTTTTTTTTTGTAAGAATAAGTTTCAAGTCTACAAGACAACAAGTCAGTAGCTTGATGTAAATTATTTCTGATAACTTCTGAATTCCTATTTAAATTGTGTCTGATTATGGTTGAGTGGACGGTCCACAATGAATGACATTACAACACTGAGAACGTACATTAATGGAGACTGACCCTGCCATGCGCCTGCAGTCAGGGTGACCTCCTCCCAGCTTCTCTTAGCATTTACACGTAAGGAGCATCTTCACAGGCCTGGGTATCTGAAGGTGCTTCTCAAGGTGGACTGGAACGAGGCATATCACTAACAGCCAAAGCTGTGAGTACTGATAGAGCCCTCGGACAAAAGTTGCCTTTGCAGTGGCAGTGCTGCGGGTGACGGCGTCAGCTTGTCCTGTGGCCAGTAGGCATAAGGAGGATCTGACCCCAAGGTTCCAAGTTCTTATGCCATCTTCCTTCTTCCTTGTCTTCCTGGTGGGAAGCTTTGTTTCTGAGTTTGTGCTCCTTTACCCATCAGCGATGGGAATGTAGACACCATTTTCCGTGTCTGTTGTGCTTGCATAGCTCTTTCCTGTATGTGGCTTCTGTTTGGTGTGTATTACTCTCCATGCTCAGGATCAGGTCACTGCTGGAGGGGTGCAGAGGGCAGAGCTCGTGGGGTTTTGTGTCCCACCTTGTCACTGTCACTTGACTGGTGGGTGAGCTTGCCCAGACAGGCTTTGCTTCTCGTGGAGCTGCTGTCTTTCTGCAGCTCCCTGTCTGGGGCAGGTGTTGCTGGTGGTGACCGGCGCTTTCTGTCTGGGGCAGGTGTTGCTGGTGGTGACCGGCTCTTTCTGTCTGGGGCAGGTGTTGCTGGTGGTGACCGGCTCTTTCTGTCTGGGG